CCCCCCCGACAGCCAGCACAGCTGGTGAAGCACCGAACGGCGGCTGGGACGCTTGGCCGGGCTGCGGGAGGGCATGGCTGTGCCGCAGCTCCGTGCCACCCGCTGGCAGGTACCACGAGGCACGAACCACAATCAGTAACTGCCAAGCGGGGAAGTGCCTTTTTGATCACCTTCTTCCCCTGTTTTTGCCCCAGACATGCTGTTCCTTGGGCCTCTCCTCTTGGATCGTGGCTTTTTTCGGTTTTTTGGTGACTGCGTTGTCCCTCGTCCTCGGGGACTGTCTGCAGATGGGGCTTGGCCAGCTTTGGCTTTGCCCATTTCACGGGGCACACAGCTGGGTTTTTCCTGAGCTCCTTCTCTCCTGATAAACTGGAAGTGGTGGGACCTGGGAAATCCTTGCATGCGTGCCAAGGCGGGGAGTCGCTTTCGGGGAGACGGCAGCTGCTCCTGCACTGGAGCCATTGCGGAGCTGATCTCCACGCGACGGGGCCTTCCGCTGACTACGCGGCAGGGGCGCCTAGCAGCTGCGTGTCCTGTCCTTCAGCAATGGGGACAGAATGGGGACCCTGAGAGCTCCCCGAGCTCTCCTGCTGCTGCCTCTGCTGCTGATCAGCGCTTTTCAGCTTGGCCCAGCCCCGAGCTGGAGCACGGTGCCGTATTCTCCAGCTGCCACTGTGCGACCTGCTGGAAGCGTCCCAAGTTGATGTTGCCATCACCCAAGTCTAAAAACCAGACAAAGAGAAGCGAGACGCTGCACTGCTTCGCACAGGAAATCCAAAACTTAAAATTGAGGACGTGGGGATGTGGCTATGTGCCGTAGAAGAGAAGTGGGATCCACTCAGGCAAATGCTTTATTTGTGAGGATCCTCCCTGCCCTTTGGGGAAACTTGCTGTCCGTGTGGTCTGGGCACCAGAAGAAGATTTTACATGGTTTGGCATGTGTTTTTAAAATAATTCTTAGGATGATGCATAGCAAAAAGACATTTGAGAACTCAGCACTTTCAATAGTTAAGATGTCAGATTAGTCACTAACAAACTCTGTGCACGTCAGTCCTCGTCGCTCGCATTTACCAATCCCGCAGAGAATGGGTGAGAAGCTGGGGAGAGAGCACCACCTACTTTTGAAACATTTTTATGTACAGTCATATTAGTTTCCGTAAATGAACAGGGGGGACGGTGAACAGGAAGCAGAATGTAACTGGCGTAACTTAGTGAAGCAAATCAGGGCTTTGTTGTCTGAGGAACCCCGCTGCTACGTTCCCGCAGAGTTACCTTGGAGATACCACAGCTCGTGTCATAGAATCATAGAATGGTCAAGGTTGGAAGGGACCTTAAAGATCATCTCGTTCCAACCCCCCTGCCATCAGCAGGGACATCTTCCACCAGCCCAGGGTGCTCAGAGCTCCATCCACCCTGGCCTTGAACCCTGCCAGGGAGGGGGCAGCCACAGCTTCTCTGGGCAACCTGGGCCAGGGCCTCACCACCCTCATGGGGAAGAATTTCTTCCCAATATCTAATCTAAATCTGCCCTCTTTTAGTTTAGAGCCATTCCCCCTTGTCCTGTCCCTGCACACCCTTGTGAAAAGCCCCTCTCCATCCTTCCTGTCGGCCCCTCCAGGCACTGGCAGCTGCTCTAAGGTCACCCTGGAGCCTTCTCTTCTCCAGGCTGAACATTGCAATGGGAACTTGTCGCTGCGCAAGATGTTTTGGAAGACAGGTTCTTGTTTTTACAATAGCGACTTAAGTAACTGTGGGATGGAAGTGTGTCATCAAAGATGCAGAAGTGTGATGGTCTGAGGGAAACAGACTCTGAATCTCAGCGCTCAGCCTGCAGAAAGTTGATTCAAATCTACACCCTGTAA